TCTTGGCATGATCCACCTACGTATGATCACATACTGGAAAATACAAATCACTGTAAAAACACGTACATTTTTTAACAATAAAAAAAATTTCCAAGAGAGATTGCCTCCAAACATGATGATGATGTGATTGCTTAGAGGTGAGAGTAGAGGTCATATAAAATTTGAGTCAAACAAAAGCAGAATCCTTCTGAAAAAGTGCCAGTCCTTCCCAGGTTCTCTATCTACAATGCTGTTGACTATTTTAACGTAGACTATTTATTGTCTTATATTGCTTATTAGTTCTGCTGTTGATAAAAAGGCAGTTTTCCAAAAAAAATTAAAAGGAAGAAAATAATAGCCACTCACAGCATTTATGAGTTTGTTGCCTACATAACAGTTGCTGTAGCACAGATGTGCACGACATCTTAGAGATAAGGTGGCATTTAGGAACCATTTAAAAAGGCACAACACGATTTAATTCAAGTAGAAATCCATTTAAGTTGTTCCATTTAAACTAAGCCTGAATCTAGCCCCAAGTGTCTGGCTGCAAGAACTTGAAACTAAAAGAAGTCACAAAATAGGTGGTGGCCACTAGAAAGAGGCAGTGAAGGATTGGAAGGGATGAATTGTTTCTTATTCAAGTTAGTTGCATGTGTTGTTTAATACAATACGTGTTTGCTTTACCAGACTTGTTATGGGCCTTTACATTATAAAACAACTTCAATTTATAACATTTTCCATTCAAACTACATCTCAGAATGTGTTACTTTATTAAGAATAGAGACCAGGTAGACAATCCAACCTGAAAGTTACTCCTGGACTTTGGGGCCAGGCAGGAGCTGTTGCCACTGCTAGTACCAGCACATTTCAGTAGGCTCTATAGTTTTAACATTGCTAGAAGAGATGCCCAGAAAGAGCCACAAGACCATAAAAACACTGTAAAATGTTTTAAAATCTATTTGATTCTAAACTAACTGCAAGAAACCTGCACGAACAATCACAGAAACTCATTCAGTCCAAACTGGCCGAGTTCCACTTGGTTTAACCTGTAAACAATTTTTGAGAATAGTTTTACAGGATTTGTCATCTAAAAAAAAAAAGAGTCAGATATGGTAAGTGAACATGCAGGCTGTTAAAGTTTGAAAGACCAAATTACAAAAGTCCACTGAATTAATTATTTACTCAGAAGTTTTAGTTGGAAAATCTAATCATCAAAACAGCCTTGCATAACTTTAATGGTACATTAATTTTAAACCTGATTCAGAGTAGTTATAGCAGGTAAGCAAGTCAAAAACACTTTGCAGGAGAATATTTTTTCCACATGGAAACTTTAGCTACCGTAAACTGCTATTACATTTCATAGTTTTAAGCACTGATTTTGCAGCTCTTCTCTGAGCCAAAATCCACCCATGTCATTAGGAATGTCTCCTTTTCTGTACTCAGTAATAAAGATATAGACATTTCCCCAATCACCCTGACAGAGATTACCACAACTCCATTTTTGTAAGTAAAGTACCTACAAAGCAGTCTCAACTACACTGGAAGAAGAGTAGTACTTCCTACAGGAGAAAGAACTTAGCTTTGAACAGCCTATAAACACTAAGACAGCTGTTATGTCAAACAAGGAGCAAAGGCTGAATTGAGGCAAATTAAGCTAAAGAGGACTTTCAGGACAGGTGTTAATTACCCCTCATAGAACTGTTTCTTTTTTTCCACAGAAAGGCAAAGAACTGAATATAGGTAAGGATAAAAATCTCAGCCCATCAAGCATTTAGGTATGTAGGTTTAACAGCATTACTCACGTATGTAACATTTGATACATGTAAGTTTTTACAGGATCAGGGCTAAATTGTCACATCTAAACAGTGCTCTAAATACATTCATCTCCACCTGCAACCTCTGTGTAAAGAAACTTGGAAACGTTCTGTTTAGTTTGGTTTTGAATTTCTTTAAACAAAAAGCAACACAACGAATTCCAAGTTTGATTATAAAAGTTAGACTAGTTCAAAGAAGTGCTAAATCCATACGCTAGCCAATGGTAAGAATATTTGTATGTGCTCAAGTACGACTATTGGGGGGGGGGGGGTGAGCTTCTCTGAACTTCTCATTTTCTCTCTTCTGAACTAGTTTCATCATTCCTCAGAAACTGTTTTGTCAGCTAAGACGTATCCAGTATTTTCACTTATATCATTGTGTCAATGCTACAGAATAAGGAGAGCCGTTATAAGCCTGCAATAGACATACAGTTTCTGCTATCAATTTTAAAGCATTTGGGGGCTTAAGTTGTGATTTATTTAAAATCTACTCTTTTAAAGATAAGACCCGAATCCAAAGTCAACTAATAAAAGGAGTAGTCATATTTTTGCTTCAGGTAATCTAAAAAAAATGTAGCATGAAGCTTCAGGCTATATAGCAAGCACATTTGTCCATGTAAAGCATGACCTCATATTCTGAGGATGTGCACTTCAGGGACACGGTGTAGGAAGCATACCAGTAATTCAACTAGCATTTGCACAAAATTAACTGATAAGATCCAAACGTATCCCCACAGCAACCAGGCACTGCAGATTCATTTAGGTTTAGCACCAAAGTTGTTTCATTTATGTAAATGCCTTATGTAAACTCTGCAGGGTTGTTGGTTGTAGCCTGTTGGTCTAAGGAGACAGGCAGGCAAGGTCCTTTGGGTAGATGTGATATCTTTTATAGACCAACTAAATAGGTGAAAAAAGTTCTTTGCAAGCTTTCGGGCACAAACACCCTTCCTCCAGCATAGAGAGACTGCTTTTGTTCTGAGATCTTCAGGGTAGAAAAGAAGCTGGGGTAAAGGGATGTCTGGGAACATGCAAAGGAGTGGAACTCTGGAAGACAAAGGGTACAGATAGGAGGGGAGGGGAAAAGTGTGAAGGAATGCAGGCCTTCCTCTAAAAGGCTGTCCATCAAAGACAAAAATATCCAACTACCTATGGGTGCACACTTCTCACAAGACAATCACTCTCTCCCTGATTTCTCAGTTCTAATGCTCAAAAGGAACTTACAAAACCTTTTGTAGACGAGCCCATGAATTTCACGTCATAAATCTACTGGATACAAACAATCATGGACTGAATATAGACATTGGATTTATGACACATGCCTGCCTGACATCTGACACATCAGGTAGCCCCGCTTTTAGCATTCACCCTTTGTCTTCCAAACTTTAGCTCTTTTGAATCTTCCCAGCTCATTTGCATCATCCCTTTACCCCAGCTTCTTTTCTACCTTGGAGATCTCAGAACAGCAGCAGTCTCCCAATGCCTGAAGAAGGGTGTTTGTGCCCTAAAGCTTGCATATAACTTTTTTTCCAACTATTTAGTTGGTCTAATAAAAAGATACCACATCTACCCAAAGAACTCTGTCTGCCTATGAAAACTTGCCTATAATGAGAAGTCATAGTTGTCAACCATTCTGTTGCCCACATGTAACATAACGATGAAGCATCCTGTTCCAACTACAAGTGAGGTTTACCAATACAGATGTACAGAAAGCTAGGAACACCTGCTCACTGCATGAATCAGTGATGCTGCTACTGTTTATTTTTTTCAGCCATGAATAATCATTTCAAAAATATATCTTGTAATTTGACGTACAAAGTCAACCCAATATGAAGCAACAAATTTAACAATAAAGTAACAGCCCAGTAAATTATACAGTATAGTTCCCCTATGGTCAGGGAGTACTTCTTGCCAACACATAGGGGATCACCTAATCTGACTAACCAACAACAAGATGACCAGGAGAGCTAGAAAAAAAAGGAAGAGTTAGTTGAGGATAGTAATATTGTTAATAAAGTTTATTAGAACCAAAGTGCAAATGTAAAGCGCCCCTTTTCCAAATATATATTCAGAGCAGACTTCAACACACAAAAAAGAGAAGTCATACAAATTACCTGAAGTCAAGTAAATGAGAAACTTTTTATATTTTCCTTTTACTGTTTTCTATGCTGTATTATGTTCAAGTTAAAAAAAAAAAAACACCCTACAAATTCAGGTTATTCAGAGCAAAATTAACAGGTAATCAACAAAACCCAGAAAGCAGAGCAACTCTCTCTCACGTATCTGTTTGAATTCAAATTTCTTGCTTTGGCCATATAACACAGAAGTTTACTTTTATTCTTTAAACCTCATCAGCCTACCAGTCAGCTAATGAACATGCAATTATTGAGAAAAGGAAACAGGCATTTGCTCCAACTGAATATGTTAACTGTTTAGTCCATAAGATCTGTAAAGTCCAATTTTTGTCCAGGTAGGAGTCACTGGAGTCCAGGGTGGGCACTGGTGAGCCCGTGCCTGGAGTGCGTGTCCTGTTTTGGGCTCCCCGCTACAGGAAGGATGTGGACAAGTGGGACAGGGTGCAGCAGAGGGCAACGAAGGCGAGGGGGCCGGGGGACATGACTTCTGAGGACAGGCTGAGGGGACCAGTCCTTCAGTCTGCAGAAGAGAAGACTGAGGGGGGATTTAATAGCAGCCTTCAACTCCCTGAAGCAGGGTTCAAAGGAGGACGGAGCCGGACTGTTCCCCGCGGTGGCAGATGACAGAACAAGCTACTATGGCCTCAAGCTGCAGCAAGGGAAGTTGCGACCAGGCATCAGGAAAACTCCTCTCTCACTGGGAGGGGAGCAAAGCACGGGCAGAGCCTCCCAGAGAATCTCCATCCTCGGAGAGCTTTCAGATCCGGCTGGAGGATGATCTCCTTGGGGCTGGCCCTGCCCGATGGCCTGCCGAGCTCCCTCCCAACCCCACGGGTCTGTGCCTCGGCCCGCGACCCCCGCGGGGAGCCGGGCCCCCCCGGGCCCCGGCGGCCGGGAGGCAGCCCCCGCAGAGGAAGAGGAAGAGGAGGGGAGGCAAAAACTTGAGCCAAACTTTGCAATTGCGGCTGCCGGCGGGGGAGCCCTTTCCCGGCGGCCATTCAAACAAAAGAGGCTTCCCCCTCCCTCCCCGTCCCGTCCCGTCCCGTCCCGTCCCGTCGCCGCTGCCCGCACTCACTCCGCAGGGCCCCGATGAGCAGGCTGCCGTCCTTGATCAGCTCCTTGATGAACTTGTTGGTCCGCTCCAGCTCGATCTCGTGGCATTTCAGGCGGTCCCTGAAGTCCGGACTGTCCAAGTAGGAGTCGCTGAACTCCAGGGTGGGCAGCCCCATGGCCGGCGCGGCTCGGCTCGGCTCGGCTC